AGAGAGAGCAGAGAGAGAGAGAGAGGAGAGAGCGAGATTGCAGAGCGAGAATGGACCCCCAAGAGCTTGAGACGTACTGTAGCCGTAGGAGGGGCGACGGGTGTGGAGAGACTACGATGCAGTAGGTAGTGCATAGATGATGTCGACTGAATGAGGACGTAAATACCCCAACACAGAGCTACATGACGATTTTGAGTGACGATTTGAAGTTCGAGTAGTGAATGAGAGAACAGTACGAGATAGAGGCGAGGAGAGGAGGAGAGCTAGTAAGAGATGAGGGATGGGAAGATGACGATGTTAGTGACGAGGGAGGCACCGAGTCGACAGAATGAGAGCTCGAAAAGATGAGAGAGCACTGTACTAGAGAGATGATGAAGAGAGAGACCTCGTCGAGCAGAGACTGTACGATGTGACAGAGAGTACAGATTCGAGAGCCTCTGCATTAGGCAAGAGACCTTGTGTCTCCTCGATCTTTCTCTCTACAGCGACGAGAGAGGATGCTGCCTCTGGCGCAGCATTGAGATGAGGTTCCGTTCTCGCTTGGAATCCCGAGAGTAGTGATGAAGTAGAATGAGAGTAGATGTGAGAGGTGAGTGTAAAACTGTAAAAAGAAAGATGCTGTACTGCGTCCCTTGTCCCTCTAGACCCCCCATGCTAGAAATATGCCATGTATCGTGTAGTCGATGCAGGATACTACGAGGATAGTGAGAGTGATCAGTGGATTCGATGATATCTTTTCTGAGTCCCGGCAGCATAACAGGATAAAAAACAGAACAACACACCATCATTACAATAAACAGGGTAGAGGAGAACGACAAAGGGAGAGGAGGGGAGAGAGAGAGAGAGGACATGAGAGAACATGAGAGAACAGAGGATGTGTAGATCTGTCGATGTGCCCTTAAGAAAGCACTTAACCCTAATTGTAAGTCACTCTAGAAACGTTAAATGACTTAAATGACTAAAATGTAATGTAATGTAAATGTAGATGAGTATCTAGATAGATGAGTCTCTCACGGTAGGTAAAGTAGTTGAAGTGGGGTCCAGTGAATCCGTCCTGGGATGCAGGATCTTTGAGAGAGGAGAGGAGGAGCTCCAGCTCCACTGGGGAGTACAGGCCTGGAACCTCACCTACAACACACATATAACACACACTGATCTCAGTACAGTAAAGTACAGACCCCAGGCTAAGTACCTCATCTACAACACATATAACACTGATCTCAGTACAGTACAGTACAGACCCCAGGCAAGTACCTCATCTACAACACATATAACACTGATCTCAGTACAGTACAGACCCCTGACCAGTACCTCATCTACAACACATATAACACTGATGTCAGTACACTTACATTGAAAGCGGTTTACCATCCCGAAAAGTATTATTATTATTTTAATTTTTTAAGTCTGCCTCTGCTAAATGAATATAAGGGAAACACTGCACACTAACGCATTAGTCACCCATACGCACCCACAGAAAGACAGACAGACAGACATACAGTGAGGGAAAAAAGTATTTGATCCCCTGCTGATTTTGTACGTTTGCCCACTGAGAAAGAAATGATCAGTCTATAATGTTAATGGTAGGTTTACTTGAACAGTGAGAGACAGAATAAAAACAAAAAAATCCAGAAAAACGCATGTCAAAAATGTTATAAATTGATTTGCATTTTAATGAGGGAAATAAATATTTGACCCCATCTCAATCAGAAAGATTTCTGGCTCCCAGGTGTCTTTTATACAGGTAACAAGCTAAGATTAGGAGCACACTCTTAAAGGGAGTGCTCCTAATCTCAGCTTGTTACCTGTAAAAAAGACACCTGTCCACAGAAGCAATCAATCAATCAGATTCCAAACTCTCCACCATGGCCAAGACCAAAGAGCTCTCCAAGGATGTCAGGGACAAGATTGTAGACCTACACAAGGCTGGAATTGGCTACAAGACCATCGCCAAGCAGCTTGGTGAGAAGGTGACAACAGTTTGTGCGATTATTCGCAAATGGAAGAAACGCAAAAGAACTGTCAATCTCCCTCGGCCTGGGGCTCCATGCAAGATCTCACCTCATGGAGTTGCAATGATCATGAGAACGGTGAGGAATCAGCCCAGAACTACACGGGAGGATCTTGTCAATGATCTCAAGGCAGCTGGGACCATAGTCACCAAGAAAACAATTGGTAACACACTACGCCGTGAAGGACTGAAATCCTGCAGCACCCGCAAAGTCCCCCTGCTCAAGAAAGCACATATACATGCCCGTCTGAAGTTTGCCAATGAACATCTGAATGATTCAGAGGAGAACTGAGTGAAAGTGTTGTGGTCAGATGAGACCAAAATCAAGCTCTTTGGCATCAACTCAACTCGCCGTGTTTGGAGAAGTGCTGCCTATGACCCCAAGAACACCATCCCCACCATCAAACATCGAGGTGTTTTTCTGCTAAGGGGACAGGACAACTTCACTGCATCAAAGGGACGATGGACGGGGCCATGTACCGTCAAATCTTGTGTGAGAACCTTCCCTCAGCCAGGGCATTGAAAATGGGTTGTGGATGGGTATTCCAGCATGACAATGACCCAAAACACACGGCCAAGGCAACAAAGGAGTGGCTCAAGAAGAAGCACATTAAGGTCCTGGAGTGGCCTAGCCAGTCTCCAGACCTTAATCCCATAGAAAATCTGTGGAGGGAGCTGAAGGTTCGAGTTGCCAAACATCAGCCTTGAAACCTTAATAACTTGGAGAAGATCTACAAAGAGGAGTGGAACAAAATCCCTCCTGAGATGTGTGCAAACCTGGTGACCAACTACAAGAAACGTCTGACCTCTGTGATTGCCAACAAGGGTTTTGCCACCAAGTACTAAGTCATGTTTTGCAGAGGGGTCAAATACTTACTTCCCTCATTAAAATGCAAATCAATTTATAACATTTTTGACATGAGTTTTTCTGGATTATTTTGTTATTATTCTGTCCCCCACTGTTCAAATAAACCTACCATTAAAATGTTTAGACTGATCATGTCTTTGTCAGTGCGCAAACGTACAAAATCAGCAGGGGATCAAATACTTTTTTCCCTCACTGTACAGACAGACACAGAGGTATGATATCTTACGGTCTTCAGGTTGTGTTTGAGTGACTATCCGCGGGAGGTCTTGGGTGTGTAGAGTGTGTATCCATGAATGTGTGAAACCATATATGTGGCAGTGCATCGGCCCACCCCACTGCATCCGGCCGGGAGCAGAGAGCCCCCCGGGCCACTCAGTAAGACACCTCCCAGAACAACAGTAGGTCCAACTCCCTGTTGTCATGACCATACAGGACCGCTCCCTACAGAGGAGAGAGATGCATTAATACACACACAACACTCTCTCTCCCTGTCATACACAATACAAACAGACACTGACCTTGTGTATGACCTGGCGTAGGTCGGCACAGTCGAAGAGTCCCAGAGATTTACCGTGTAGGGGCAGGGACTGACCAGGGGCCATCACTCCCCCTCCCTCAGACGCACCCCACGTCACATAGAAACCATCTGCAGGTAGAAAATACAGTTATACACACTGTTATATACACACACATCAGTACATTCGCACACACCAACCCACCCACCCACCCACACACACACACACACCCATCCACACACCCCCACCCACACACACACACACACACACACACTAACCCCACTTCACGTAGAACCCATTTACAGGACAAGATCATACACACAGAACCCATTTACAGGACAAGACCATACACACAGAACCCATTTACAGGAAAATACCATACACACAGAACCCATTTACAGGACAAGACCATACACACAGAACCCATTTACAGGAAAATACCATACACACAGAACCCATTTATAGGACAAGACCATACACACAGAACCCATTTACAGGAAAATACCATACACACAGAACCCATTTACAGGAAAATACCATACAGACAGAACCCATTTACAGGAAAATACCATACACACAGAACCCATTTACAGGAAAATACCATACACACAGAACCCATTTACAGGACAAGACCATACACACAGAACCCATTTACAGGACAAGACCATACACACAGAGCCCATTTACAGGAAAATACCATACACACAGAACCCATTTACAGGACAAGACCATACACACAGAACCCATTTACAGAAAAATACCATACACACAGAACCCATTTACAGGACAAGACCATACACACAGAACCCATTTACAGGAAAATACCATACACACAGAACCCATTTACAGGACAAGACCATACACACAGAGCCCATTTACAGGAACATACCATACACACAGAACCCATTTACAGGACAAGACCATACACACAGAACCCATTTACAGGACAAGACCATAAACACAGAACCCATTTACAGGACAAGACCATACACACAGAACCCATTTACAGGACAAGACCATACACACAGAACCCATTTACAGGACAAGACCATACACACAGAACCCATTTACAGGACAAGACCATACACACAGAACCCATTTACAGGACAAGACCATACACACAGAACCCATTTACAGGACAAGACCATACACACATAACCCATTTACAGGACAAGACCATACACACAGAACCCATTTACAGGACAAGACCATACACACAGAACCCATTTACAGGAAAATACCATACACACAGAACCCATTTACAGGTCAAGACCATACACACAGAACCCATTTACAGGACAAGACCATACACACAGAACCCATTTACAGGACAAGACCATACACACAGAATCCATTTACAGGACAAGACCATACACACAGAACCCATTTACAGGACAAGACCATACACACAGAACCCATTTCACAGAGAAACCAACTACAGAGAACCCACTGTCATACTGGTCACACACACACACTGTGCAGAGGGAGAGGAGCACTGAGATGTGTGTGTGTGTTACCTGTCATGTTGTCGAGTGCGTTCGGAGCCCCAGTCCCCTCATATGACGGAGGAGAGGGTGTTGTCAAAGGAATGGATGTCTTTCGAGGAGATCAGTCGGTCTCTGAACAGCCTCCTGGCCTCATAGGCTACCACCTCCAACACTGAGTCTGTTATATTAGTTCCTTACAGACACAGAGAGGAGGGTTAATACACTGATTAAAGGGTAAATACACACACATACGTTGAGTGTACAAAACATTAAGAGCACCTTCCTAATATTGACGTTGAGTGTACAAAACATTAAGAACACCTTCCTAATATTGAGTTGCACCCCACCCCCCCACCCCTTTTTGCCCTCAGAACAGCCTCAATTCAAGGTGTTGAAAGGATTCCATAGGGATGCTGGCCCATGTTGACTCCAATGTTTCCCACAGTTGTGTCAAGTTGGCTGGATGTCCTTTGGGTGGTGGACCATTTTTGATACACACAGGAAACTGTTGAGTGTAAAAAAGAAAACAGCAGCATTGCAGTTCTTGACACAAACCGGTGCACCTGGCATCTACTACCATACCCCGTTCAAACGCACTTAAATATTGTGTCTTGCCCATTCACCCTCTGAATGGCATATATACACAATCTCAATTGTCTCAAGGCTTAAAGATCCTTCTTTAACCTGTCTCCTCCCCTTCATCTACACTGGTTGAAGTGGATTTAACAAGTGACATCAGTAAGGGATCATAGCTTTCACCAGGATTCACCTGGTCAGTCTCTGTCATGGAAAGAGCAGGTGTTCTTAATGTTTTGTACACTCAGTGTTCACTACTACATTATAACATACTGCAAAAAGACACGCAGCATCAAGATCAAGACAGCTCAGAGTGCACACTCACACACCAGAGAAGAGAGTTGAAGTGATGAGAGAGTGAGTTGTGACATACCGTGTAGAAAAGGTAAACAGCAGCAGGGAGGGAGAGTAAAAAACGATGAGTCGTATAAAAAATAAAAATAAATGTCAGCAAACGCTTTTAATTAAAATGACTGATTGGACTCCCTATCACAGGACGAACACATTGCAGGAGGGAGGGAGAGAGTGACAGAGGGAGAGATGAAGGAGGACAGAGAGAAGGGGATGATGAAAGAGAGAGAGAGACAGACGGGTGACAGAGGGAGCAGAACAGGGGAGAGAAAGAGAGGAAGAAAGTGATGGTTAATGCAGGAGGCAGGGAGAGGGAGAGAACTACTGACTTTCAGAGGATATTCAGAAATATCCAACAGCAGCTAGAATCAAAGGCCAGTACAATATAAGTTAAGACAGTTACGAAATAATTAGATGTTTTCAATGAGAAGTCGGCAACAAGAGAGAAAACCCATGCAATTAGCAGAACTAAGTATTGCAGACATTTATTTTTTACTTTTTGGTGACATCGCCATGTCAAAATGGGTCCCAAAAAAGATGGTGTAGTGCAAGGGTTCCTAAACTTGTTTGGCCAACAACTTTTTTTGACCCCCCCCATGAAAAAAGGTTATGTAATAAACGGCCAATTTTAACTTTTTTACTTGGGGTTACGACAGTCTATTACAAATCAGTCTGACTGTAAATATGAAGACAGTAAGGTTTGAAGTGACTGAAATACATCAGAAAGGTATTGGGAAGTTCAGAAGATCATCAGGCAATAATGTTGTACAATTTTCTGTGTAGAAAACTAACATCATCCTTGATGATGATCTTTTCCCCCCGTTTGATTTAGAGCTCTTGTCCACTCAGCTCTAATGTCTTGTGGGCATAGTAGAGGGAAACAGGGCGTACATACGTGTTCCTGAGAGTCTTATCTTTCAGTGATGGGGTCATAATATTGTGTAGCTTAAACCATTAAAAAGATAAAGACACATTTGTAGGAAGAAAACAGACACCGCTCTGTTTATTACAACCGCATGTAGCAGCTACAGGAGGTTACTGACGTAACCCTGGTTCTATGAACCAAGCATACATTTTATCTCACGACCCCATTTCCACGTGGGGTCGCGACCCCTATTTTGGCAAACCTTGGTGTGCTGATTGTGGTCTGATCGTGTGATTTAACCCTGTAGAGGTTCCAGTGGACTATGAGAGAGTTGATTTAACGCTGTGGTCTGACTAGAGGTTCCAGTGGACTATGAGAGTTGATTTAACCCTGTGGTCTGACTAGAGGTTCCAGTGGACTATGAGAGAGTTGCTTGAACCCTGTGGTCTGACTAGAGGTTCCAGTGGACTATGAGAGAGTTGCTTGAACCCTGTGGTCTGACTAGAGGTTCCAGTGGACTATGAGAGAGTTGATTTAACTCTGTGGTCTGACTAGAGGTTCCAGTGGACTATGAGAGAGTTGATTTAACCCTGTGGTCTGACTAGAGGTTCCAGTGGACTATGAGAGAGTTGATGTAACTCTGTGGTCTGACTAGAGGTTCCAGTGAACTATGAGAGAGTTGATTTAACCCTGTGGTCTGACTATAGGTTCCAGTGAACTATGAGAGAGTTGATTTAACCCTGTTGTTTTAACCCTGTGGAAGTAGAGTCAGTGGTATGAAGTGTGATCTGACCACGTGGTTTGACCGTGCTGTTGTGGTTGACTCACCTGCGGTCAGGTCATATCGTAGCAGGCTGAGCACCCACTGGGTGAGGACACACGGTGTGAACAGGTAGAGGCTGTGGTCATCCTCCATGAACTTAGCCTTCACCTGAGACCAGAGGAACAGAGAGTTAGAAAGGCAAACACACACCCACCTGTGTAATAAATGTCTGTATAGTGTGTGGTTTCTGTTTGCCCCCCTAAGAGTGAGGATTAGATATAAGAGGCAGTAAGTAAGTGCTGTGATAAGAGCAGTCTAATCTAAAGCTGCTACTTGGAAAGACTAGAGCAGCTTAAAGCTGAAGCTTTAGTCTGATAACACATGAACTCATCTGAGACAGCACAGACACACACACACACACACACCTGTTCCAGAGACCCTGCTAGCTGGTGTGTTTTCCCAGTGCTGGCCCAGGCTGCCTGGCTCCCAAGGCTCCTCTGGAGAACAGGCTGCAGGTACGCATAGTATATAGTCTGAAGCTGCTCCCTGTCTGGATAACTAGAGAGGAGAGAGTGGGTGAGTGTTAGTGTGTGTGTTTGAGGGGGGGGGGGTTCTTCTGTCCTTGTGGGGACCAAAAATCCAAACAACGATAGTGAAACAAGGAAAATTCTCCCTCGTGGTGACATTTCCCATGAAAGGCTATTTTAAGCTTAGGGGTTAGGTTTAGGGTTAGGGTTAGGGTTAAGGGTTAGAAGTTAGGGAAAATAGGATTTTGAATGGCATTTTTTTTTTATGTCCCCACGAGGATAGAAGAACATAATGTGTGTGTGTGTGTGTGTGTGTGTGTGTGTGGCCATACTCACTCTATGGTGCAGATGCATACTATGGAGGTGAAGCAGGAGGTGAGTGTGTGTCGTCCCACAGCGCCTCCTGCTGACATGCAGCCCACCACCTGGAAGTTCTCTGGACCCACCCTCTAGGTTCTCATCATACAACCCATGGTACGTCAGCACCTACAACCCACAAGGTGGAGAGAGGAGAACTCTGTCACGTTATGAAAGCTTGACTCATTTCTGTCTTACACATCGATCAATAAATAATGTATTTTCAGTGTTGTGTTATGTTACATTGCATTGATTGAGGTTGTGTTATGTTGCGTTGTATTGTGTTGTATTTATTGTACTGTATTGTATTGTAGTGTATTGTAGTGTATTGCAGTGTATTGTAGTATATTGTATTGTAGTTTATTGCAGTGTATTGCAGTGTATTGCAGTGTATTTTAGTGTATTATAGTGTATTGTACTGTAGTGTATTGTATAGTAGTGTATTGTACTGTAGTGTATTGTATAGTACTGTATTGTACTGTAGTGTTTTGTATAGTAGCGCATTGTACTGTAGTGTATTGTATAGTACTGTATTGTATTGTACTGTAGTGTATTGTATAGTACTGTATTGTACTGTAGTGTATTGTATAGTACTGTATTGTACTGTAGTGTATTGTATAGTACTGTATTGTACTGTAGTGTATTGTATAGTACTGTAGTGTATTTAATAGTACTGTATTGTACTGTAGTGTATTGTATAGTACTGTATTGTACTGTAGTGTATTGTATAGTACTGTATTGTACTGTAGTGTATTGTATAGTACTGTATTGTACTGTAGTGTATTGTATAGTACTGTATTGTACTGTAGTGTTTGTATAGTACTGTATTGTACTGTAGTGTATTGTATTGTACTGTATTGTACTGTAGTGTATTGTATAGTACTGTATTGTACTGTAGTGTATTGTATAGTACTGTATTGTACTGTAGTGTATTGTATAGTACTGTATTGTACTGTAGTGTATGTATAGTACGTATTGTACTGTAGTGTATGTATAGTACTGTATTGTACTGTAGTGTATTGTATAGTACTGTATTGTACTGTAGTGTATGTGTATAGTACTGTATTGTACTGTAGTGTATTGTATAGTACTGTATTGTACTGTAGTGTATTGTAGTGTATTGTATAGTACTGTATTGTACTGTAGTGTATTGTATAGTACTGTATTGTACTGTAGTGTATTGTATAGTACTGTATTGTACTGTAGTGTATTGTATAGTACTGTATTGTACTGTAGTGTATTGTATAGTACTGTATTGTACTGTAGTGTATTGTATAGTACTGTATTGTACTGTAGTGTATTGTATAGTACTTTATTGTACTGTAGTGTATTGTATAGTACTGTATTGTACTGTAGTGTATTGTATAGTACTGTATTGTACTGTTAGTGGTATTGTATAGTACTGTATTGTACTGTAGTGTAGTGTATAGTACTGTATTGTACTGTAGTGTATTGTATAGTACTGTATTGTACTGTAGTGTATTGTATAGTACTGTATTGTACTGTAGTGTATTGTATAGTACTTTATTGTACTGTAGTGTATTGTATAGTACTGTATTATACTGTAGTGTATTGTATAGTACTGTATTGTACTGTAGTGTATTGTATAGTACTGTATTGTACTGTAGTGTAGTGTATAGTACTGTATTGTACTGTAGTGTATTGTATAATACTGTATTGTACTGTAGTGTATTGTATAGTACTGTATTGTACTGTAGTGTATTGTATAGTACTGTATTGTACTGTAGTGTAGTGTATAGTACTGTATTGTACTGTAGTGTATTGTATAATACTGTATTGTACTGTAGTGTATTGTATAGTACTGTATTGTACTGTAGTGTATTGTAGTGTATTGTATATTATTGTATTGTACTGTAGTGTATTGTCTAGTACTGTATTGTACTGTAGTGTATTGTATAGTACTGTATTGTACTGTAGTGTATTGTATAGTACTGTATTGTACTGTAGTGTATTGTATAGTACTGTATTGTATTGTACTGTAGTGTATTGTATAGTACTGTATTATACTGTAGTGTATTGTATAGTACTGTTTTGTACTGTAGTGTATTGTATAGTACTGTATTGTACTGTAGTGTAGTGTATAGTACTGTATTGTAGTGTAGTGTATTGTATAGTACTGTATTGTACTGTAGTGTATTGTATAGTACTGTATTGTACTGTAGTGTATTGTAGTGTATTGTATAGTACTGTATTGTACTGTAGTGTATTGTATAGTACTGTATTGTACTGTAGTGTATTGTATAGTACTGTATTGTACTGTAGTGTATTGTATAGTGCTGTATTGTACTGTAATGTATTGTATAGTACTGTATTGTAATGTAGTGTATTGTATAGTACTGTATTGTACTGTAGTGTATTGTATAGTAGTGTATTGTACTGTAGTGTATTGTATAGTACTGTATTTTACTGCAGTGTATTGTATAGTACTGTATTGTACTGTAGTGTAGTGTATAGTACTGTATTGTACTGTAGTGTATTGTATAGTACTGTATTGTACTGTAGTGTATTGTATAGTACTGTATTGTACTGTAGTGTAGTGTATAGTACTGTATTGTACTGTAGTGTAGTGTATAGTACTGTGTTGTACTGTAGTGTATTGTATAGTACTGTATTGTACTGTAGTGTATTGTATAGTACTGTATTGTACTGTAGTGTAGTGTATTCTGCCCTACCAAGCAAATGAGCAGTAACTGCTAATAGAGTAAAACTAAGAAAAATGACTTCAAAGTTGTTTTATTGTCCAGCCAAATGAATTGTAGGCAGATTATTGGAGATGCGGTTATCTGTTATCTTACAATGAGGTTATTTTTTAATCATATTGACCCTGACCTCTGACATGACCTTTGACTCTAGACGGCAGTTACTGTCTTCTTGCTTAGTATAACACTGGAATTAGTTTCCATGCCAAAAGAATGTAACACAAACTTCTGTAAATATATTTATGTGTATGTGGCTGTCAGTGTCATATAGTTTGATACTTGTGCGAAGAACAATAAGTAATACGGAGGTAAACCGTAGACACTGCAGCCCAAAGCTCAGTGAAACAGTTACTGCCTTTTTCCTTGGTTTCACTGTAACTTTTTTCAGTTACTGCAAACATGAGCCCACATTTTCTCCATAACACAACACAATGGAGGCAGGATATTTGTCCACATGATAAAGCATGCATTTAATGTATAAATGTATGTTTTATGTATAAATGTATATTTAATGTATTTTGACCAAATGTGCAGTTACTGCTCTTTTGCTTGGTAGGGCAGTATTGTAGTGTATTGTACTGTATTGTACTGTATTGTACTGTATTGTACTGTATTGTACTTTATTGTACTGTATTGTGTACCTGCTGTAAGAAGGCTATGAGGTTACTGGTGCCCCACTTGTCAGGCTTGGGCAGGTTGATGTCTTTGAGGTAGAGGACCAGGTTCTCACAGTCTTTGGGTCTGTAGGCCCGGCCCGTGTTGGAACTGAGAAGCAGGCAGGTCTGACTGAGCTTCTGGAGGACGTGACGAGACGAAGTCTGGGCGCTACAGCGGACCACTGCTTCCTGAGTGGAACGCAGGCGAGAGAACCCATAGCGCAGCAGCATACTGGAGAACACACAGAGACACACATTAACACACACACACATTAACACACACATACTGTGAGCAGAACATAGGCCGAATGGCAAATAGAGAAGCCAGACCATACAGAGACCATAACATTGAAGGAGGACATGAGTCTTAACAGAGGTTAGATATCAGAGGATGAAGAGGGGATGACAGAGGAGAGGAGAGGAGAGGAGAGGAGAGGAGAGGAGAGGAGAGGAGAGGAGAGGAGAGGAGAGGAGAGGAGAGGAGAGGAGAGGAGAGGAGAGGAGAGGAGAGGAGAGGAGAGGAGAGGAGAGGAGAATTAACTCTGAAAAATGTTGATGCCGCAGGGGTCTGTTTAACTGAGTTTGTGAGACAGAGCTCAGGGCGAGGGGGGACATTTTGTGAGGGTGCAAACTGAGATAGGATAATTGGGATGTGTGTGTGTGTGTGTGTGTGTGTGTGTGTCTGAGGGCAGCAGTGGAAATTAGATGTTTTTTCATCAGACAGGGATGACACAAGCGTTTCCATGGCGCCCTGACCTTTCAGCGAGATTAGGGTTGTGTGTGTGAGAGTGTGTGTTTCATAGGGGGGCTCAAGTGGAGTGTAAAAGCCAATAAGAGGTTTCCTCCCTCTTCTGGGTGCCCCAGGGATGACAGTAATGACTGTAGATTCAACAAGTCTCTGCCCCCCTGCCTGCCCCTCAGTCCGCTGTGCTATTCTAAGAAAGGTCACGCCTTAAATAAAACATGCCTGGAGACATAAGTGTGTGTCATACCGTTCTCCCTGAACAGTAAGTGGGGTGTGTGCATGATCTGATTAAAGTGTATTAAACATCCTGTGTGTTTGTGTGTGTGTTTACCCCTTGCCGCAGCCCTCAGGCCCCACCAGTATGAAGGGTTGTCTGTGCTGGGAGGAGAGCCAGTGGGAGAAGCAGTGCAGTCCTCTCTGCATGTCGGGGCTCTGGATGACGGGGAGTGTGTGAGCTCTTCTAGGCTGAGGCCGTCAGGACGTTCCAGAGTCTACACAGACTCAGGGTCATAATGGATGTCCAGGGGCTTCCTCGGGTCAGGATTGCGCTCTCTAGCCCAGACAAGCACCTGCAGGAAACACACACACATAATGGTGAGGATGTTGATTAGTTGATTAATGGATGGATGGATGGATGATTGAATGAATGAATGAATGAATGAATGAATGAATGAATGAATGAATGAATGAATGAATGAATGAATGAATGAATGGATGGATGGATGGATGGATGGATAAATGGATGGATGGATGAATGGATGGATGGATAAACAGATGAATGGATAGATAAATGGATGGATTGACCGCCTCGTCTCACCTCCTTGGCTAAGTCCTGTCGCGATTCGAGGTTGAGGTTCACGACCAGCCCAGCCCTCTGATGAGACTAACCACGCTCTGTGACCCCACTCAGGTGGGACAGACTGTTCAACACTGTCCCAACCAGACTGGTCTCCACCATAAAGTCATTATGACAGACATACACATATATATACAGTATATATATATATAGATATATATATATATATATATAGATGAGAGAGAGAGAGAGAGAGAGAAGAGAGAGATGGGACGAGAGAGAGGAGAGAGAGAGAGAGAGAAAGGAGAGAGGAGAGAGAGAGAGAGAGAGAGAGAGAGAGAGAGAGAGAGAGAGAGGAGGAAAGACAGCAGGGGAGAGAGAGTCAGAAGATATCCAATCCACTACAGTATATTTGGGGTAAAACTCCAATTGGCTAGAGTATATTTGGGGTAAAACTCCAATTGGCTAGAGTATATTTGGTGTAAAACTCCAATTGGCTAGAGTATATTTCAGGTAAAACGCCACTTGTTTACATAAATCCAGTTAATGCTATTGACTATGACCAGTAGAGGGCAGTATCAGTATGTATCACCTGTTTAAACACCCAGTCCTCTGTGGAAGTAGTCTCCCATCTAGTTCTCCAGGTTACTGCGACACTTATCAAGCTGACCCTTCAGCCACGACTTGACCAACGCACTCATATCTGTGTCCTCATCACTACAGAGAGAAGAGGGGGGTTAGAACATGACTAGAACATGACTGTAGATTTACCTGCCCCGCTGGAACCTACAATCACCACTCCCATACGCTTTCTCAACTGCTCACAGAGCTCCAGAGCCTTCTTCATCTACAGAGAAAAAACTACTTTATCCATCCATCCATCCTTTCTTCTATCCTCTTGACTAAACAGCTCATACAACTCCAGACCAGAGTTTTCATCATCTATGGGGAGTGTCCCACAAACACACGGTCACAAACACACACACACACGGCTATAGTCCCCCACCTGACTGAGAATAATTTTGAGGCGTGCCCCCTCGTAGACGGCATGCAGGGAACACCTCTTGGACCAGGGCATCAAACCTGCTACTGCTGTCTGCAAATGTCAGCTTGGACCTGGTGTTCACCACCAGACGCCTCTCCTTGACTGGGGGACATAGGGGAGAGAGGAGTTCATTTGTATAAAAGTTAACTTGTTTCTTTGTTTCTTCTGGTACACTGTCGCTACTAGCTACATCAGCAGCTTTATAAATGTGCTAATTACGACCCGTGTCATGATTTAGAGTTCATCAATACTTTTGTTCTCTTCTCTAAAGCTGCTGGCACTACAGGCACAGAAGCAAGGCTGTTTTTTCACTGGAACATTTGGCCTGACAATAGATGGAGCAAACAGAGCAAGACCCATAGGGACAAACGTGCTCTCTGACAAACAGAATAAACGAGGGAGGAGAGAGAGAGAGAGAGAGAGGGAGAGAGAGAGAGAGAGAGAGAGAGAGAGAGAGAGAGAGAGGAGAGAGAGAGAGAGAGAGAGAGAGAGAAACAGATAGATCAACCGGGGATCAGAGAGATATGGACATCCAGGCATCAGGGGGGAGGCAAGGAGAGGTCAGAGAGAGGGGGAGGGAGAGAGGAAGAGGTAAAGAGGGAAGAGGGGAGAGAGGGATGGGGGAGGAAAACAACTCAGCTAAGACCAGTGTTTGAGGAAAAGGGCAAAAGGACAGAGAGAGGCGAAAGAGCCCACAGATGAAAGTTTAGTATTTTTTTTGGCTATGAGGGATATTTGGGGGATGTTTTGGGGGTGGGAAGTAAGTGAAAGTTTAGGGGGGTATTTGGCTATTAGGGATATTTGGGGGGGAGGGGAGTAAGTGGAAGTTTAGGGGGGTATTTGGCTATTAGGGATGTTTGGGGGGGAGGGGAGTAAGTGAAAGTTTAGGGGGGTATTTGGCTATTAGGGATGTTTAGGGGGGAGGGGAGTAAGTGAAAGTTTAGGGGGGTATTTGGCTATGAGGGATGTTTGGGGGGGAGGGGAGTAAGTGAAAGTTTAGGGGGGTATTTGGCTATTAGGGATGTTTGGGGGGGAGGGGAGTAAGTGAAAGTTTAGGGGGGTATTTGGCTATTAGGGATGTTTGGGGGGGAGGGGAGTAAGTGAAAGTTTAGGGGTCTTACTCTTGTTCTTGGCCTCACTCCTCCTCTGCTGCTGCAGCAGACTGCCACAACCTCTCAGCACTGTCTTCAGAGCCCTCAGTCCCCAGTCATAGTGCAGCTTGGGGGTCAACAGCTCCCTACACATAGTCCATACATGTTACACACTCAGACATAGATACATACACACCCAGTCAAAAAACATCTCCCTACAAACAGATATAGAGACATATTAAAGGGATAGTGGGAGATGTTATTAATCAAGCCCCTTTTCTAGTCAGATGAACTCAAGAAAACCATTTGTATTTCTCTGTGTCAGTGGCGATTTTAGCATGCAAATCTTGGTGGGGCAAACAAACAAAAACAGTTTTTAGATGCGTGCCAGCAAACCCACAACACAACACTAAACAATACATGAATTGCACTATAACGGTGACAAACGGTGCCCACAAACTGTTAAGGCCAACATAAAGCTGTCCCAACAGCAGAGCTTTCTTTTCAAATCAAATCAAATCAAATTGTATTGGTCACATGCGCCGAATACAACAGGTGCAGACATTACAGTGAAATGCTTACTTACAGCCCTTAACCAACAGTGCATTTATTTTAAACAAAAAAAGTAAGAATAAAACAACAACAAAAAAAGTGTTGAGAAAAAAAGAGCAGAAGTAAAATAAAGTGACAGTAGGGAGGCTATATATACAGGGGGGTACCGTTGCAGAGTCAATGTGCGGGGGCACCGGCTAGTTGAGGTAGTTGAGGTAATATGTACATGTGGGTAGAGTTAAAGTGACTATGCATAAATACTTAACAGAGTAGCAGCAGCGTAAAAAGGATGGGGTGGGGGGGCAGTGCAAATAGTCCGGGTAGCCATGATTAGCTGTTCAGGAGTCTTATGGCTTTGGGGTAGAAGCTGTTGAGAAGTCTTTTGGACCTAGACTTGGCACTCCGGTACCGCTTGCCGTGCGGTAGCAGAGAGTACAGTCTATGACTAGGGTGGCTGGAGTCTTTGACAATTTTGAGGGCCTTCCTCTGACACCGCCTGGTATAGAGGTCCTGGATGGCAGGAAGCTTTGCCCCAGTGATGTACTGGGCCATACGCACTACCCTCTGTAGTGCCTTGCGGTCAGAGGCCAAGCAGTTGCCATACCAGGTGGTGATGCAACCAGTCAGAATGCTCTCGATGGTGCAGCTGTAGAATTTTTTGAGGATCTGAGGACCCATGCCAAATCTTTTTAGACTCCTGAGGGGGAATAGGCTTTGTCGTGCCCTCTTCACGACTGTCTTGGTGTGTTTGGACCATGATAGTTCGTTGGTGATGTGGACACCAAGGAACTTGAAGCTCTCAACCTGTTCCACTACAGCCCCGTCGATGAGAATGGGGGCGTGCTTAGTCCTCTTTTTTTTCCTGTAGTCCACAATCATCTCCTTTGTCTTGGTCACGTTGAGGGAGAGGTTGTTGTCCTGGCACCACACGGCCAGATCTCTGACCTCCTCCCTATAGGCTGTCTCATCGTTGTCGGTGATCAGGCCTACCACTGTTGTGTTGTCGGCAAACTTAATGATGGTTTTGGAGTCGTGCCTGGCCATGCAGTCATGGGTGAACAGAGAGTACAGGAGGGGACTGAGCACGCACCCCTGAGGGGCCCCCGTGTTGAGGATCAGTGTGGCAGATGTGTTGTTACCTACCCTTACCACCTGGGGGCGGCCCGTCAGGAAGTCCAGGATCCAGTTGCAGAGGGAGGTGTTTAATCCCAGGATCCTTAGCTTAGTGATGAGCTTAGAGGGCACTATGGTGTTGAATGCTGAGCTGTAGTCAATGAATAGCATTCTCACGTAGGTGTTCCTCTTGTCCAGGTGGGAAAGGGCAGTGTGGAGTGCGATAGAGATTGCATCATCTGTGGATCTGTTGGGGCGGTATGCAAATTGGAGTGGGTCTAGGGTTTCTGGGATTATGCTGTTGATGTGAGCCATGACCAGTCTTTCAAAGCACTTCATGGCTACAGACGTCAGTGCTACGGGTCGGTAGTCATTTAGGCAGGTTATCTTAGAGTTCTTGGGCACGGGGACTATGGTGGTCTGCTTGAAACATGTTGGTATTACAGACTCAGTCAGGGACATGTTGAAAATGTCAGTGAAGACACTTGCCAGTTGGTCAGCACATGCTCGGAGTACACGTCCTGGTAATCCGTCTGGCCCTGCGGCCTTGTGAATGTTGACCTGCTTAAAAGTCTTACTCACATCGGCTACGGAGAGCGTGATCACATAGTCATCCGGAACAGCTGGTGCTCTCATGCATACTTCAGTGTTGCTTGCCTCGAAGCGAGCATAGAAGTGGTTTAGCTCATCTGGTAGGCTTGTGTCACTGGGCAGCTCGCGGCTGTGCTTCCCTTTGTAGTCTGTAATAGTTTTCAAGCCCTGCCACATCCGACGAGCGTCAGAGCCAGTGTAGTATGATTCAATCTTAGACCTGTATTGACTCTTTGCCTGTTTGATGGTTCGTCTGAGGTCATAGCGGGATTTCTTATAAGCGTCCGGGTTAGAGTCCCGTTCCTTGAAAGCGGCAGCTCTACCCTTTAGCTCAGTGCGGATGTTTCCTGTAATCCATGGCTTCTGGTTGGGGTATGTACGTACGGTCACTGTGGGGACGAC